CGTTAATTTCAGTTTTCTAGACCGGAGACGCTATTTCCTTGAACTAGCTCTTCGGTTATCCTCACGAGGCTGAATGGGACTCCGTTCAAGGCTCACTACTTCGCAGAAAATCTGGTAGCACCGGGATTCGAACCCGGACCACTGGATGTGTAGCCAGAAACTCTCATCACTAGACCACAGAGGCGGTCTCAAATATTGTTATACTTCATTAAAATAGGCCACGTCCGTTCCGTTATTTTTCGTTTGTTGCTCAAAAACCAGTTCACCGTTCGTCAATGCTACGTAGCTCGATCGGTCTTTAAATTAACTGAGATGCGGTCAGGGGAAGGGCGGGGTTGGGAGTTCAGACCGCTAAGGCATTTTGGGTTTAAGCGTTTACTCCGGCGTGAGACGAACACGTGGACGCTATAATGTGTGTAGTAAAAAGTAAAGTAAAGGTATTCTTGTAACAGGCCGTGAAGGCCCATAGGGTTGTGAGACGTCGAGGCCTCCACATATTCTAGACAGTCGGCTCACAGATGGCGGTTAAGTTGTCACTCTTACGCCCCAGCCGCACTTTACGCCCATGAAGGTGGCTGGTACTCATTTCGGTTATAGGCTGAGTCGACCTGAGGGCCATAGTGCGGCTGGCAGGATTAGGCCAATTGAAAAAAATCCAGTGACCTCATAGGAAATCGAGCCCGCGACCTTCCTGCTTGTAGCATAGTGCCTCAGACAACTACGCTACCGCGTGCCCCCATAATATGTGTAGTACAGGATCGCCTCTCGATTGCACAAGCACGCTTACTGATTTACACCGAAGGTGAACGTAAAATTAAATTTGAGTTACTCATAGCGATAACTATGAAGCTTACCATCTTAACGGTATTTCACGATGGAAAGTCCGGTAGTTTCCGACGTTTCGGAGGAACGGAAACGGTACTTCGCTTGGTCCTTCCACCCTTAAGGTGGAGAGAGTACATCGTGCATTTATTTGCCAGTAGCTCAGATTATGTGACATCATATTATAGGATGATTAATGAATACTGAATTGGAGAGGATGTGAGCAGCGTGGTCATGGTCTGACTATTATCTCACAATTCGCCAGAAGGGGCTAGAGATATACCACGTTAAATCGCGGGCATGATACTTGCATACGGGCCGAGAAGTGAGCTCGGGACCTGCGGAGCACGTAGAGGGGCCCTTACTTGGTTTGGAACACTGTCGATATGGCGCGTGCCGGATGACATCACAATTCATGTCACACCGGCGTTGGGATTCCCTTTCTGCTTTGCTGCCACATTGTTTTCCTAGTGCAGTGATTTTTTCCTGGCCCCAAACAGGGGCGATATAGTGTCAGAATAGAGAATCACTGTTACAATATTAGTCTCACAGAAAGACGATGCTGCGTGCATGTACCTAACTGCAGAAAATTTGGGGAGATGGGACATCGAATAGAACATTGAAGCGTACATCCAAAATAATGATCACTTGACTACTCACAGGGCGTCGGTGGAATTGAAATTAATATAGAAACTGTGAGTTCATTTTGTCTGTGCCAGATTGGTATTGAAATTTGAATTGTTTCTGTATACCAGAATGGTACCCAAACGTACATATAGAAACCCTGACCTGATTTTCACCATGTTCGAAGAAATCTGTTTCAAATTAGTGTCGGAAAATCTATGGAGAGATCAGGGATTCAGTGGTTGTAGCAATGGGAATTGGGTTACAGTTGCTTTGTAATTGTGCATTTACGTGGCCTGAAAATTGTAAAGCTGCTTTATGTTCCTGCTGTATATAACTTGGTTAAGTCAGTAGCTTCGACCATGTTTTGGATCTGTGTGCCGTGGAATAGACGTAACACTCCCTGTTCGTTTTTGGAGTTAGGTGTATCGGCCTGCTTGTCTTACAGTTTCCGAGCTAGATGATTCATTTATCCAAGTATACTGAACACTCGCTGATTGCGTTTCTTACTTTCTTTTGTCTTCTATCCGTCCATCTGTGGACATATTACAACCCGAGAAGAACTGAACGGATTTTCACAAAATTTGATATTCGATAGTTTCGCAAGGATCAGTCGACACATTCCAGTGTTATTGAAATCTGATAATCTTGGTCGCGTAACACGATGGCCCTTCATTTTTGCGGATGTGCTGATCGCAACACGCCAAATATTAATCGAGGTGACGTATTGGAACGAGAGTTGTCGAGAAAAAAAAAGAAAGAAGTTTAATACACAAATTCCTTAAGTCTTGAGATTTTAGCGAAAGTTTATTGGCGTAATCGAAATTTCTGTGTGCTCCATAAAGTAGTACTCAGAATTCATGCCTTTCTTCCCGGTTTGTTAAGCTTACTTGACGCCAAATTAGAAACCTAATTTCATATAAAGATTAAATGTGTGAGATAAAACGAATAAATTTCACAGTTCAGCAACGTAATACTGCGCGACTGCGCGATATCGAATTACAGCGAAACATGCGAGACGGTTTATATAATTTATATGTGTCCTAACGTAAAGCAGTTCTGATTGCCGACTAAACGTTATTAAAGATCTGTCTTACTGAATGTAACACTTCTGATTAACTGTTTATTATGCAATAGCTGCGCATCGCTTCCCGTTACCGTACATCGCGGATTTCAAGTGACGCCACAGGAAAGCATCCAGTGGTGTGAGGTCTGGAGATCGTAGTGGCCATTTTACAAGCCCCTTCGACTGATCACCGTCCAGGCAGGTAGTGACATAACAGCCGGAGCGCACACAATACGGTGCCTCATCGTGCTGGAAGTATAAAGTTCAAGGACTCGAGCGAGAGCCATTGCGTCTACATACGGTTGCAGCGCGGTCTCCTGTTAACCTGTTGCCCTCAGAATCAGGCATTCCACCTCATGTAGATCTGGGGGCCTCTTTGATCATGAACATCAAGAGCAGAACACGACTTTTGTATGTGTTTTGATGGTTCCGCTGAGATTAAAGCAACCTTTGTCGCTAATGAAGAATGTCTGCTCCCCGAGTGTCGTACTGTTCTCGTGTTTGCTGCAACCACTCACAGAATTTCAGGCGCCTGTCAGGATCATTGCCGCGCAACGCTTACGCAAATTGTATTTTAAATGGGTGATATTTGTATATAGTTTTTTTTTAAGTTTCGTGCGGTGAAGTGAGTCCACTTGGTACATCGGCCATTAATCGGCCTATTTTACCAGCCCCGGATGGTGGTAATGTGCGAGGAGCAGTCGGTGGAATGAGAATTGGCAGGGGAAATGGAAGTGCTCGGAGAAAACCTGCTCCAATGCCACTTTGTGCACCACACATCCCACAAGACTTGACCTGGGATTGAACCCGGGCCGCCGCGGTGGGAAGCCGATGAGTAACCGCCTGAGCTATGGCACGGCCTGGTACATATGTTGTGTACGGAACCTCTGGTACCACTTTCATGCGCAGTCTTCCGTGCAGAGCAATGGGGACTAGCAGTCTGTTTTGTGGTGACGTCGACACATGCCAGAACTAGGAGCATGTCGCGGGCACTCTGTCCGGTGCCTGTACTGCACGCACCCAGTCCCTTCGAAGCAGGTGAACAGGTGATGAGAATGGGGTTGCCGTAGGATGGCGCCTGACGCGCGTAGAAATGTTACGCTGTTGTGTAGGAGGGACAAGGGAGATGGACGCCAATTCAGAAAGTTTCGAAGCTGCCACTACCCTGCCGTAACTACAGGGAATTCCTTTCGGAAGCGTGGAATGTAGAAAATTGATTACGTAAAGACAGGTAATTTGTTCTCGTCTGGGCTGGTCTTGTCTTTTGGCGACGTACGAGTTAACTGTCGGAGGGCTGTGGGGCATAGCTTCCCCTGTCAGATGCTCTCAAATTTGTATCAGTAATACTCGGTGCCTACCGGCCCTGATGTATTTATCATATAGTCACCGCAAACTCAACATTCTGTACTCATTGTAGTCCCTGCTTACACTGTATGTCCGCGTATCCAACTCAGCAGTGTTGGGCAACGTTGTGATGATTACACTAATCTACATTCCTAAGTTACTACCTTCTTTCCACAGTCCCTTCCAGGTACTGCCGAATCAAAATGTTTACTTCTTTAATTAAAAAATTATACCGTTATGACGGTAAGAGCATAACAAGAACCATTTCGCATTTTTTTCTCGCGGCGTATGAGCGCCGTCAGCCCACCCACAATGCGATAGAGCATTACGGTGTGGTTGAAACACGTGTACAGGAAACTAAACATATACTGCACTTGACCGCAACTACGGTGTACTACTGCACTTCGCTAATTGCGGTTTTCTTGTTTTTCGACCGTTGCTTCGCTTGCCACATCGTCATGCACACCAGGACAGTATCTCTGTCGCGGTGTGCGGCCAGTTACTCGAGACATCGTCGGCGCCGTATTCCCATGTGTAAGAAACAAGACGGACCCCGTTCTGAACGTCAGCTGTAGTGAATGTGCAACAAACCTTCGTGGTGTTGTATACCCATTTGTGGTTTTGTAGACTTGCAACATTTTGCCACTGTTGGCCACACCGTAACTTTTCTGTCAGTACAGCAAAACACAGTGGTTTCGTTCACTTCATTCTGTGTCATGTTGCACTCACCTCTCAATCACTGCTCCTTCACCCCCTGGAGAAATTACATCCTTTTTCGCAGTAACTATTTATTGTTGGTGTGTAAAGAGTGTAGCACCTTAACTGCATGAGGTTTGCAGCAGCTCTTCCTTCTTCACATCTTTCCGTATTTTGCCAAACGACCGAGGCCTCGTATTGCCGCGGACGTTAAACGTACACTGGTGGACACGTATGGTCCAGTACTTACCGGTCAGCAGACATTTCGTGCTATATGTGTTTGTGGGGCTTATGTGTTCGTTTACGTGGACTCTCACATAAAGAATGAGGAATTAGCCAGCATTTCTCTGTACCTCATACATACAGTTACGTTATGCCGTCGGTAGCTGTAGATCTCAAATGTAAACAAGTGTTCGTTTCTCCTCTGAGACGTTGTATTTCTTTTCAGACCGATCTCTGTGGTATCAAATGGCGTAAGTTGGTGTGTGGGGATTACAATTTCTCGTCGGAGCCTCTGGATGATCCTGTGTTGGCGAGTTTCTCTCGCTGCCTCGCCGGAGACATTCTGTGCGTGTGGCGGCGTGTGGCCACCCAACAACCAGCCTCCGCCACTGGGCCGCACTCCGCCAATCAAGCTGCCGGTGGCCTGTTCGACCCCATTGGTCTCCCTCCGGGACTCGGTGGACCTGGACCCGCAGCAAGTAACCAGAATCAACACCCACCATTATCCCTTCATGCGGCTAAGGAACTGTGGATCTTCTGGTACGGCGAGGAGCCTGACCTGTCCGGTCTTGTTTCTCCGGAACTTATCGCTGCCGGTGAGTTTCGATCTATTTCTCTATTGATTTTTTTTTCAGAGATATTTGTTCTGCAATGACTATAATCGTTCAAAATGTATGTTGTAGGGTTTGCGAATTGTTTTCACTTGTGTTGTTGATTCTCTTCAGCATCATGACTTTTATGCGTCGACATTTGTGTTTAGAAGGCACACTAAAACTTCTGTTAAACATAACCCCTTTATTGTTGGAAAATCCCGAAAAGAATCTAGGGTTAAAGTAACGAAAACTACATCATGTAAACAAAAAAATTAACACTGAAATGGAAAGGAAATATATTTTAACGGAATGAGATGAATATTTATTGTTTCCTGTTCTTGAAATTTTGTGTTGCCCTGAATCTTGTTTTGGAAATACCGAAATAACATTCTGGAGAGTTTGTTACAGTTCACGCAGACACATGCACGGGTGGTTTTTATATTGTCACAGAATATTCATTTGTGGTTCATTTGACGACGCTGGAACTCTGTGAAACCGTATGGCGTCAAATGGTAGGATGATTAGTGGCTGATGAATTGAAAGGATGTGGAAGGAAGAGGCTGTGGGCTGATTTGAAGTACTGCTCCGGAATGTGTCTGGAAAGACTGAGAAAAACGAAGAAAATTTCAGAATAATTGGTGTTCGAACCGGAAACCAAGCGAGTTCAAGTCTAGAGCGTTGTCAATACGACAGCATGCTTGGAACACAAACCATCTTATGGTAATGCGACGTGTGCTGTGGTTTGGACGAAGTCAACGCCATGGGGAAATTTCTTCAGAAGCTGACAGTTGCTCAGCCAGGCAAGAAATTCCTGTCATTTTGTGGAACCGGGACCACGTCACAAGAGCCTGCCACTGGTCCGTAAATTGAGCCAATTGGATCACGCCCTCCACCATATTTCTTTAAGACCTGATTTATTATGCATCATCCTCCAGTCTACTCCGAGGCCCTCCAGGGGGTCGCCTTACTTCGGATTGTCACACCAGAACGTTGTGCCTCAGTTTATGTTGAGCACAAATTCTGAAACTCTTCGCTATGCATGTTTGTTCAGACACCCTCGTAACCTTTTCCGTTTTCCGTCTGAAGTACTCCAGCAAACGTGTTTTCAGGCAGCATCTGTCAGTGTTCTTCCCTTCATGGGAGAGGCTGAGGTTCACATCCTTACAAAAGAATCGGGGGCACGCGGTAGTGTAGTCGGTTGAGGCACTTTTTTACAAGCCGGCAGGTCACGGGTTCGATTCCCAATGAGATCATTAGATTTTTCAGGTAACTTAATACTTCCAACCGCACCATTTTCTAACTGAAATGAATGCCAGGAATCTTCTGGTGGTGAAGGGCGGCCCGCGCGTAGAGAACGTCGCCGTAAACTGTCAGCCGACTCTCTAGGAAATGTGGAAGCCTCGACGTCTCTCACAACCCTGTGTGCCTATTCACTTTTCTTTGTCTTTTCATTCTTTGCACAAATTAGTTCGAAGTTGGCCGTCTTAAATTAATTTATGTCGCTCTGTTGCGCTCTTACATTATTGTTAATTCTTGTTTCTCGCTCATTAATTTTGTCTTTCAGATGTTCCCTCGTTTTTTCGTGAAATATCTACTAATTACAATCGTTACATTACTCAGGTTGATTACCTCCATTCATTTATCTGTGATCCTGTAATCATTGCCACAACTTATCTTGTTCTCTTTAGTTTCATAGGTCAGAACATTCTTCATCAACCTGTGAGTTGTGTTGTTTCAGTTCCTAATAACTTTGACACTCTTTGGTTGAACTTAAGATAGCCCTGGGGTTTACTCAGCCTCTGACAGAAATGAGTACCAGGAATTAATTAAATAATTTTCCTGGGGAGTAAAGCGCGGCCGGCGCGTAAGGCTAATAACCTTACCGCCATCTTTGAGCCGATTGTCTAGATAATGTGGGACCCTCAACATCTCACAACCCTATGGGCCTTCACGGCCTGGTACAGGGACGGCTTTACTTGCCTTTCCCCCCCTCCCCGCGGCGTCATATTGATGTCTGCATGATTATCTGACATCTTCCAAGCTTCACACCTGCTCGAATATTCACCTGATGCTGTTCTTTGTCGTCCTGTTGAGACTGAATCTGTCCATATCAAACTTACGCGTTGCTCTTGTACTTTCTGACCGTTTTCGCTGACTTTCGGATCCACTAAACAGTGACCAGTACCATTCTACTAAGGAAGATTTGACGTAATGTGTACTTGAATATCATCTTTATATCAACATACGATCAATCTGATTGGGTATCTTTTCATCAGATTTGCAAGTGTATTGTGGCATGTAGATGTTCTTAATTCACGATTTTTATTTGCATTTCCGTTGAAAATTCGTCCTCAGTTTCATTTCCACCCTTTTCCCATCTGACAGCCTGTACTCCCACTCAGTCTAACTTGTACGTCGGAAATTCATTCTCCGACTTCGGCAACACTCAATGCCGTCTAGTAACTGGAAACTGGCTGCCCGGGGTCTGGTCAAGTGGGATTTGTGGTGGACAAAGTGGCGCTGGGGCAGGTTTTCTCTAAGTACTTTGGTTTCCCCTGCCAATCTTCATTCCACCAATTGCTCCACAATCACCCTCACCTATCATCTGGGGCTCGTACAATAGGCCAGAAGTGGCCACAGTACAAGGGACTTAGTCCCACCCCACTAGCAATAAAAGAAACTGAAAACTGTCGTCAGTCTGTGTTTATGTGCTTGGCATTGGCTTCTGAATTGATCTCTTGAATTGCCTGTTAGGGCGTTTAATTACTCGTATTTTGTCCCATATGCTGTTTGTATTGCCAGCGCAAGGTAGTGTGAGGTGTAGAACCTTATTCAGCAAATGGGTCACGTATTGCAGCAGCTTAATCAACTCCAAGAAAGTTGTTCAGTTTGTCAAGAAAATACGCAATATATGCCGTGTGACTGTATTCTGAGGCAGTTTAGTCCAATCGCCTCACACCATATTCCTTTTAATATTAATTTCAGTATTATTCTTCGATCTGCGACTAGGTGTCCTAATTGACATTTTGCCTTGAGCTTTATTGTAATTTATTTTGGTGTATATTTCTCATCGACATTCGTGCTACGTGCTTGATCCATCTTATCCTCCTGTAAAGACCGACATGTAGAAGTGTCTCTCCTCGTCGCGCCCTCCTGCAGTTTCTCTACTTCTGGTGTAATACGAGTAGTTTCCTGAACGCGCAACAGGTTTTCCGTGTTGCCAGTTCGAATGGAAGAACTGTTTTTGTGCGTTAACCGCCGAGCGAGATGTCAGATGGTAAGTTTTTATTGCCAGGAATGAAATGAAGAAAGGGCTGGCTCGTCTTCCACGCGAGAAGTTGGAGAAATAGACGTGCGTAAGGCAGCAGTGTAGGAACGTGTTTATGCAGTTGATCCCTTCTGTACAAAGAGACAGCGCATTTTGCTCAGGAACGGAAGCTGTTTCGAATTGTCCGAACAGTTTGCTCTCAGCTTTAACCTGTATCGTATTTAGTTCGGAAGTATCGACTTCACGGGCAGTTGATTCCTGATCCTAATTTATTTAACAGATTCATATTTATAATTCGTAAAATTCGTGGTGTGCGAATTGGCACTTGAGCACATTTTTCTCAGTTTCTTCGTTTTTCCCCTGCTAGCCACCATCCAACCATTGTCCCATACTCATCTTTCACCACCGCCTGAGGCGTGTGATAGCAGCACATTGTAGTATCTGACGCGGCACTTGTCTCGTTACAGAGTAAGGAAGCCAGTTCTTAATCATTATTCATTACAATTTTCATGCCGAGGAGAACGCTCGCTCGCCATCGATGTCCTGAGTGTTCGCATTTAGGGCGTTCGCGTCATGTCGTAGTAATACAGGAGCACAGCAGAACAACAGGAATTGTAAAACTCGCGACAGGTACGTCTGAGTATGAGACATTAGAAAGGGGATCATTTTAAGTAAGGTACGAATACGTGGGAATAAAATTATGTAAAGCTGTAACAGGCCCTGGAGACCAATAAGGTCGTGAAACGTCGATGCTCCTACATTTATAGACAGTCGGCTCTCAAATGGCGGTGAGGTCAGCCTTACGTGCCAGCCGCCCTTTACTCCCAGGAAGATTTCTGTTAGAGGCTAAGTTGACCACAGGGTCATAGTGCGGCTGGAAGGATTAGGTCAGTTAAAAAACAGTGGCCTCATCGGGAATAGAACCCACGACCTTCCGACTTGTAGCATAGTGCCTCAACCAACTACGCTACCGCGACACAAGGAGCATACGATGTTATTAAGCCATTCAATATAAGTATGTCTGTGCGAAACATGTAAACAGTGAACATATTGAGAATTGCTTCTGTTTGCACCACCTCTGCATGTAAAATCGTACATTGCCGTGATGACTGCATGCATTTCTTCGAGCCTCCCTGTAAAATATGTTTTCCGTAACACAAGATTGGAATAAAGGGTTTGGGTCAGAGCATTCGCTAGCGATATGCTCGTCCAGTGGAAGTGAAGTGCCTACATTCAGCGGCACTGTTGATGTTCCCACTGAGCTGTGCTGTTTCAGTGTTTTAAGAAGTATTTACGGTTCTACGTACACTTTTTTTACCGTCGCGTGGCTGACGAATTAGAATGAAGTGGTCATCTCTTAATCGAGGTACACTCCCGGCATTTGTCTGAGGAATTTGAGGAAATCGAAGAAAAGTTTCCTACACGATAGTCGGTGTCCTGGCAGAGATTCGAACGGAACACCTCCCGAATACAAGTCTGGAGTATGGGCTGCTACCGCAACCGGGCCAAGCTGTGTGCGCGCCCTCGCGAATCTTAACCGGAATCTGTTGTTTAATTTTTGTAACATTGGTGTCTAATTGAAACAGATGTTTGTGTAGACGGGCGGACGGTCACGCTTGCATCTTGCCATTAATGTTCGTAAGAAATAATTGTTTTTGTTTATAATCCTTGAAAGAGAAAATTCTTGTGACGGAAATGAACTAATGTGTACTACCTGCGGGGTCAATAATCACCC